GACGTCAGTCGTCATGAAGTCGTGACGTTGACTTGGGGATGTCATCACCTTCTCGTCGTCTCGATGCCTCGTGACCAGGTTGGGGTTGAGGCGAGAGTGATGGCCTCGTGTAACGGTCGATCTCCCTCGGGCTAGCTCCCAAGCGGGGAATATCTGCGCTCCGAGCTGTCACGTAGCTTGGAGCAACGCATGCCCTGCGCGAGGAAGGCTGGACGCCCAATCCAATGTTCTAGTGGCTATCATGGGCACCACCTTGACGCCTGTAGCACCTGTCGTTCCTTCCCTCCCAAAAATGAACTGCTGCTGCTGCTACCTTTACTGGGGCCTGCCCTCGACACGAGACGGCAAGTTGCATATCACCTGTTCCATCCTCTGGTTTGTCGTCCCGCGCCGTTTATCTGCCCCTCCCTCTGCCTATCTCGGCATCGACTGCCACCTACTTTAATACCCTGCTCCCGTGCGCCCAACAAAGCTTCTTTAGCCGTGCGGGACCGAGCGAGCATCTCACCTCAAACCCCAAGCTATTTTATCGATCGGCCCTGCCGCTCGCGTTCTCTCCTTCTCCACCTCTTTACGCGTTTCCTGATTCTCCTCGCGAGTCTCGCACAAGGCCTCGGCGCCGACTCGGAACACTCCTCACACCTCACTTCCGCGAATACGGTACCACTTTCAGCTTCGAAATGGCGGACGAGAAGCAAGTGATGGCGACCAAGGAAGGCGATGCCCCCGTCACCGCGACGGCTCCCGCCGACCCCGCGATTCGACCGTCCGGATGGATGTATAAGGGCTTCAAGGTCGGCAAAAATGAGGTTTGGTACGCCTCGCCGATTTTTCAGCTCATCATGGTCGCTTTTGTCTGTTTCCTGTGCCCCGGCATGTTCAACGCTCTCAATGGCCTCGGCGGGGCCGGCCAGGTCGACACTTCGGCTCAGACCGACGCAAACACGGCCTTGTATAGCACTTTCGCTGTCGTCGGTTTCTTCTCGGGCAGCATCGCCAACAAGCTCGGCGTCCGGCTCACTCTGTCCATCGGCGGCCTCGGCTACTGCATCTATGCCGCTAGCTTCCTGAGCTACAACCACAACCAGAACCGCGGCTTTGTCATCTTCGCTGGCGCATTCCTCGGTGTCTGTGCTGGTCTGCTCTGGACCGCCCAAGGAACCATCATGATGAGCTACCCGCCCGAGCACAAGAAAGGCCGCTACATCTCCTACTTTTGGGTCATTTTCAACTTGGGTGCCGTCATTGGATCCCTCGTCCCGCTCGGCCAGAACATCAACTCTATCGTCGGCCCCGTGACAGACGGCACCTACGTCGGCTTCATAGTACTCATGCTTCTCGGTGCCATTCTGGCTCTCTTTCTTTGCGATGCCGGCAAAGTTCAGCGCGCAGACGGCAGCAAGGTTATCCTCATGAAGAACCCGAGCTGGTGGACGGAGATCAAGGGCCTGTTCGAGACCATTACGCAGTCCCCTTGGGTTCTCCTGCTGTTCCCTATGTTCTTCGCCTCCAACATCTTCTACACCTACCAGCTCAATGACATGAATGCGGCTGCGTTTAACACACGTACCCGCTCGCTCAATGGCACTCTGTACTGGTCGAGCCAGATCATTGGTGCCGTCATTTTCGGTTACGCGCTTGATTACTCCAAGGTTCGCCGCACCGTCCGCGCCAAGGCCAGCTTGATTGCTCTCGCTGTTTTGACCTTTGTCCTGTGGGGAGGCGGTTGGGCCTGGCAGAAGAAGCAGGCGACCCGCGAGGTTGTCGAGGACACCGCGGTGCCGTTCGTCGGCGTCGACTGGACTGGTGGTGGCGATGCATACATCGGACCCATGTTCCTGTTCATGTTCTATGGCTTCTTTGATGCCGCATGGCAGACATGCATCTACTGGTACGTTAGTCGCTTCCAATTGTGACACAATATCTCACTGACACAACAACAGGTACATGGGCGCTCTCAGCAACTCGGGCCGGAAGGCCGCCAACCTCACTGGTTTCTACAAGGGCATCCAGTCCGCTGGAGCGGCCATCTTTTGGCGATTGGATGGTCTCAAGACCCCGTACAATACCATGTTTGGTGCAACCGTAAGTCATTTTGACCTTTATCCCACCATACTATCAATCAGAGCTAACCATTTTGTGTCTAGTGGGGTCTTCTTGGTGCCGCGCTCGTCTTCGCCGCTCCCGTGATTTGGATGGTCATTAAGGATACCGTCACTCTCGAGGAGGATCTGAAATTCAGCGACGAAACCCTCCGTGATGTTGCCCCGACTTCCCAGCTGCCGGTTGGAAAAGAGGCCGACGTCTGATTAGATGTCCAAGACGGGAAAGCGGATCTGGGGTCTTGGCCTCCAGATCACAACTAATCATGGCGTGTAGCCACATGCGTGGCTTCCTTAGAATATAAGAACTCTTTCAGACCTTTTCGATGATACCAGAATACCTTCTTAGGTACTACCTATTCATTCGACCAGTACCTAATACCATTTGGCCTCGTTGCCTTTGATGAGACCCATCGTGAACTGGGACTGATTTCACTTCAGCCGCCGGTGCCATGTCTATACAATGACTCGGTTAATTAGACTTTGTAGTTAGAGGCGTCCGTAGATACCTCCGAAAAATGGCAAGCAAGACTTGAACATATCCTTGCCTATCGCTCTTTGCCCATCCTGCCTCTATCCCGACAAGGTCACCTTTGGTGGCGACAAGTGGAGAAGCAAAAATATGCAAAAGAAACATACAACACCAGGGATTCGCTGGTAGTCACCCACCCAACTACTAGTCTGGCGGTCGCTGGCTTGTCTATGGGAGAGCGGACGGGATCCCGAATTTTCCAGTGCCTATGGTCGTATGTGTTTGGGAGGGAGGGAGTTGGGGGTTGTGTGGTTGGTGTCCGCAAGCACCCAGGGCACGTCCGAGGTCCGAGGATCCATGAATTTCGAGGCAATCTCAGACACAACAAAGATTCGTAGCATCTTTACCTTCTTTTGGGTTTGTAATAGCCATCACATGTTGTTCTGCTTTGCATAATATGGTATCTAGTTCGGAAATCAAAAGCTTGCGATGAAAGTCTTTATGTGCTCTCATATCAGCTCGCAATAACCTCCCCAGCATTGAATGATATGGTGAAATTCGGGGTTGAAAATCAGGCTAAACATGGGAAGATACCGTGACATACAAAGCTACAACAAACCATCTCGTTCGGATGAGGTATCACTGGAAGGGGGTGTGGTGTGGTGTGGTTTATTTAGCCAAATTTGCGTAGGGAACTTCAGTCATGCACATCATTGCTCCTACGCATCATTTTTGGCCACAACTCAGAGGTCACCTCCTCTTTGTCCTTGTGGCTTATCGGAGAATGATGGGATGAACAACCTTATGATCACACAAAAGTGACACGACCATCATCAGTCTCTTGGTGATACAAGATGGCGGGGCCACTTCACGTCCTGATCATCTCCCTCACCGTCGCCGTCAGCGCTTATCTTGGGCCCATGGTGTTAGACTATCTCCTCATCACCTCTCAGCTGTCATCTCAGCTCGCCTCTTTCAATTTTCCGTTTCTCTCCTCTAAATCTTCTTCGGAGGCATCAACAGGCGGCTGCCTACCACATTCCTACACCACGCAACTCGTCTCCCTCGACCCTTTACTCATCTACATCCACAACTTCGTCTCCGCCGCTGAATCCGCCTCCATCATCGCCGCTGGTGTCCCGTTACTCGCAGCCTCGCCCATCACCGGCGCCGGATCCGACACCGTCGCCCCGCAAACACGCACTTCCCTCAGCGCGCCCCTTCCGTCGAACCACGCCACCGTGTCCTGTATCCTCGCGCGCGCGGAATCCTTCATGGGAACGTTGTTCCTCCCCGGACGAGATGATATGGGCGTCGCACAATTGGTCCAATACACCGACACCCAAAAATTCGATCTGCACAGGGACTGGTTCGCTCGCCCGAGGTTACTAGACACTGATGCGGCGGCGGGGAGAAAGAGATTGTATAATCGGCTTGCGACCTTATTTGTCGTGCTACGTGCAGAAGGAATAGAAGAAGGGAGCGGGGAGACGTGGTTTCCTTTGGTTAAGGGTATTCATGATCCTCCCTCTCCCACTCAAAAGGTGGAGGGTGAGGATGGAGAAAACAAAGAGGGACTGCCACTGTGGCGGGAACATGAGGATGGCGGATTGGCGTTTAAACCAGTAGCGGGGAATGCATTGTTCTGGGTGAATTTGTTTCCTGGGAAGAATGGGAGCGGGGATGCGCGGACGTTGCATGCGGGCTTGCCGGTTCAGGGCCCCGCCGGGTTGAAGACGGGGATGAATATTTGGCCGAGGACATTCTTTGGGCCGGATGCGTGAAACCCCACCCAGCCTGGGCCCTAGGGGAGGGTCGAGTGTGTGGTGGTGAGTGGGGGAGGGGATTTATTTGTCTAGGTTCTACGTGGCCATCTGATTCAGTAGGTAGTACAGGAAGGGGAATGGTTGCAGGTATTAGGTTGTGGGTATGTGTTGAAAAGAAAAGATAAAGTTGATTTCTCAAAGTCCTCGCTAATACTCACCGCTTGGGGGAAAAGACCAACCTATCTACGTGTGGGCTTGTCCTCCTCTGGTATAAAGATTTGTGGTATAAAAATACACGGTCGTCTCGTAAGCACACGTTGAGTCAAATGCCTTACGTTTCAAGTTAGCACAATGGGAATATGTAAGCACTGGCCTCACTTAACCGTTGCCTTCATTCTTTCTGTAATTGTGTTGTCTTTTCGTAGCTGTCGTTTTCACCTCTCAATATATTTTCTAATGTGGAGTGTTTCTTTTGAGAGCGGAAAAATGGGGAGCACTTTTACGCAAAAAAGCCACCTTCCATTGTCCATACTTCGCATTTCTATTTCTCGGCGACCTCCATAAGGGCTCTCGACTTTCTGACAGCCGGCGTGCAGTGAGAATAACACAAAAGTAGAATCAACCCAGCCGCCCCCGCCCGGAACCGCAAAAATATGATCTTGACAACTGAGGGATTCGAACCCTCGCTCTTTCGAACTGCCAAAGTTTCTTGGGGGGAAACCTGAAGACAGCGCCATAACCGCTCGGCCAAGTTGCCTGTTGCTTGTTGTCTCGGAGCAGGGGATCACCCAGCAAGAATGGAGTTGCAGAGTGGGACTGGTGTGGAAGTTTTGGTGTGGGTTTTGTTCACCGAGCTAATAGCACGAGATATTGCAGATCCGTTCGTCTTATCGAAGGCAGCAGGGGGAAAATTGGAACAGTGTGTGGGTTGTGATCATCATGTAGATGCTTTCTTTGTATTGGTAAGGCGGTGTGATGTGGTGAGGAGGTATCAGTACAATAGGAAATGAGACGCCGGAGCTCCGACTCCCTGGAACTACGATAGGTAAACGACATATCAAAAGGTCCCCAAAGCAGACTTTGGGAAAATGATGCTTAAAAAGTTGCACTGGTCAGAGCAAGGCAAAGATGCCTAGGTAAGTACAACAGGCTACATAGGTACCATAGATATATTGGCATGAAACCTAAGGAGATAGGTACTCAGTAAAGAGACCCTAAAGATGCATAAGATCATTGCCCCGGAATGAGTCCAAGGTCCGATTGAACCACCTTGTATACCTAGTCTAGTAAATGCGTAGGTTCGACTAACCGGAACCGAAATACAACCCATTTACCGTATTTACCCCTTGACAATCGCCATCAATCATAGCCTTCTGTGACGGCGTCGAGCTGCCTTTCATAAGGTGATGGGTCCATCATGTCCTCGTCCCATAAATTTCGGTCGATCCATTTCCTTCCTCCTGGGCTTGAAGTCCTTTGCCACGGGTTGAACTTGCCCCCCGGGCTTTCTGGGTTGCCCAGCTTGATGACGCGGGAATAGGTCGCGACGACGCAATGATTTTCCGGTGTAGTTGTCGTGGAGCCGTCATGACAGAGCGACAGGTGGACGGACACGTCGATTTTTGATGGCCGGCCAGTTGGGGATATGGCCCCGAATAACAATTGGAGGGAACCACGCATTGTTCCGAAACCATTCTCGAATCTGCGAGACAAAATGCCAGCTGCCAGACGTCCCAGGTCGATCTCGGAGGAGCCGAGGAAGCATGTGCAGTTTGTTTGGTGATCAAAGCATCGCGAGATCGGCGTGGCACCTGCCAAGAGAAATGCGCCCGTCTTTTGGTGACGCTCCAGCATCTTACACATTTCCAACGAGTTGAACTGTCCCTTGTTGTTGACGCTGAGTGTCTCGTGGGCCGTCCAGGTCAGGGTGAGTACCACCGGCGCGGAGTCTCCAAGTATACTCTTGCTTATACGAACGCTCGGCATCATCTCAACTTCTTCCTGTCTGCCGCAAGAAGCCCGGTGTCCAGCGTGATCGCAGAGCATCACAGCTGGGTGCGCTTTCCCAAGCATCTCTGGGCTGTGGCATTGCGCAAGATGCGGCTCGATATCCGACCAGGAGACGTGGCGGTGTTCGCAGAGTCTCACGAAGCCTTCTCTCCCGATACAGACTCTTGTTCTTGTCGCCGTCGTCTCCTGCGGAAGAAGAAATTCTTTGTTGTTGTTTCGCCGAAAATGCTCGAGTAGTATGAAACGCATCGCATCCCATACAGTGCAGTCCTCCGTCCCCCACAAGAGAGCTGAACTTGTAGTAATTCAGTGTTGTCTCGAAATGAGCAGTTATCAGCGCTGGCACGGTTTGGCGTTTCTGGACTGTGCGGATGCATTCCGCGCACCGGCGATCCCTTTGCAGCCGAACTTGCAAGTGGTGCTTCTCTTACGGGTCAGTTTATTGCGATGCTATCCCAGGTCGCGGAGAAACTCTATCTCGATGAGAGATGTGCTTGGGCTGCCAAGGCGACGGCGGCGAGGGGTAGCCATACCGGCATTTGCGACTGAAGAAGGCGAGGAGGCGGAGGCGGCGAGACACGCGACGAAAACATAACAGGTCGACGATGTCGTCGGAGCGGAGGAAGTCGATGATGACGTGTAGCACCTCTGCGGGCAGGCGACACAGAAAACTGTTGGATGTGTTCTGTAGCGCCGTGGCCACGCGCCCCGGGCACAGCGCTGGGGATTCCATCGAGGCGATCAGCATCGTTGAAATGGGAAGGAAGATGCTGAGTGGTATCGTCGATACGGAAAGGAAGCTGTGAGCGTCATGCAGAAAGAAAAGAAAATTTATGGCTCGTGGGGAAAAATAAATTAATCGGTCGCAATAGAGTGAGGGCCGTGAAAGACCCGTAGAAGATTATGTGGAGAGGGGGGTAACCTCCTTGATGTGAATTGCTCTTTCCGCGGCATTCAGATTTAAGACGGTTCTTAGCGGCACAGGACGCAATATGCCCGCAATTCAGAGCCACCTACAACCACTTATCGCTGCATTTAATGGAACGTACTATGGGGCACGTGTTTTCCCTTGCTGAGGGTGGCTTACAAAAGGGGAGATGCTAAATGTACCCATCTCTTTTCCTAATGGTATCCTATTTTTCCAGACTTGCAGCTGGCAAGGCATGGACCACCTTTTGTACGGCAAAATCGTGTTTTTCATGGCGCCGGACCACCACCTAGGAAACCTTCGGTAGACGTACCGTTGACTAGGCCATCAACTTGTCAACATAAAATAAAGCCGTTGAACTGCCTTGATGATGTATTTCGCGGTATTTTGGAGCATTGGCTCAAGAAGCATTACTTTCCCGCCCGCCCGGCTCCCGCCCGTCCGGCATGACGAAGTCCCCGCCTTGCACCAAGCAATATTTGCACCGATTCGCGCATACTTAACTTGGTAGTTGTAGTTAATTTGATGTTGAGAGCGGAGTGGTGTTGAGAGCTATGTGGTGTTGAGAGCTGAGTGGTGTTGAGAGCTGAGTGGTGTTGAGAGCTGAGTGGTGTTGAGAGCTGAGTGGTGTTGAGAGCTGTGTGGTGTTGAGAGCTGTGTGGTGTTGAGAGCTGTGTGGTGTTGAGAGCTGGGTGTTCGGAGTTGCGAATAGCTTCAACGACGGTGCCGGGCTTTGGCATGTGAATAGCTTCAACGGCGTATGTGTCGTTGGCGTGCAACCTTGTGTTTAGGCTGGTGGGCCGGCGCCATGAAATTCATGAGTTTACCATACCAAAAGTGGTCTGTGCCCTGGGCGGCTGCCAGCACCTGGAACGGGTACCATTAGAAAAGAGATGGGTACACTTAGCATCTCCCTACAAGAGTTAAAGTTAAAGCAACACTGTGAAACTTGAAGCTTGCAGGTATCTGATTAAAATATCCTGAGTCGGTTTCAAGGCTCCCTTCGGGAAAAAGAGCTATCAAAGTTCATCCCCCTAGCACCCCGCCAAGGCTGCTTGTTGTATTCACCTACTCTAGTGAACCAAGGATACTACTGGGTATTTTCTCAAGCGAGCTGGCTTAGATACACCAGGCGGCCAGTTTCGTAGTATCAAGTTGGGTTCGGTATGCAATGAGGAAAGAAGGAGAAGAGAATAAAAAAGTCCTCCAGTAAATAAGTTGAATCCGAAACAAATCCCAAGCTCCGGCATTCTCCAAGTTCGCTCTACTTTTTACCACTTCTTTCAGCATGATGTCAGGCTGACTCCATGTCTGCCTGAAGGGTGTTTGGCGCAGTTCACCTAGATGGTCAGCATTCCCAGAAGAGGTCGTCTCGGAGAATTCGGTAGCTGTCGATATCGTCAATGCAAGAACCCATACCTACTCACCAAAAGTCGACACGGCTACTACCTACTTAATACAGAGCGGCTTGGTCCAGAAAGTGCGCCTTTCATTTACGGCCGAAACGCTTTGCTGAGCCGATTGGACAAGTTTTCTGCACATCTGCGGCGGGATATGTCGGGGTCAGATAATACGGGGAAAAGTCAAGGCTCTAAACTTGCTCGTCACATCTACCGCCTCACAGGCCGTATTTCTAGTTGGGCGCGCGGCGGTGATGCCCATGATGGGCTGGAAATCAATCACGAGATCACGCCGGCGCCGTCTAATTCAGACGAAAACTCCGGAAATAAGACGGACGTCTGGGGCTAAGGATTGGATGTAGGAGGCAAGGCTAATAATGAGGCGAATTCGGGAATGACGTGGTCTCCCTTGGGCTCTCTCCTTATTCACGACTACTCTTTCCAGCAGCTGCTGAACCAGTTACTAATACCCCTGTGCGTGATGGACGACGATCCACGCCTTTGTTCAAACCATGGCAAGGCAGACTTTAGGAAGAGAAAGGTGGAGGCGGGTGCACTTTTTTTTTGCACACCGACCAAAATGCCTTGGGCAATCTCCGGAGGTGCCGGCGCGGGCCATGACTTGTTCAATCAGAGGCACCCATTCACCACGAGAACGCACGGAAAAAAAAAGAAATATGGGTTTTGACAAGAGTGAGGGTTGAGTAGAAGAGAAGAGGGTTGGTCTTGGGTTTTTTTTTTCGTTGGTGAACTTCTGGGTATAATGAGCTATGTTGTATTGTGTTGCCAAGTAGTTCTCTCTATATTCTGTAAAAAAAAGAATTGGCGAGTGAATGAATTGCGCAGAGACTTGAGACTTCAGCTATATGAGCCAAAATATGAAACCTATCAGCCTTAGTATATATCCCCCCCCCCCCCCCCCCCCCCCCCGCTCCTTGCAACTCACGGAGCTCTGATTGGAGTTATGAACTGAGAATTACGGCACGGAGATGGATTGGAAGAGGCTGTGGTTGGTATGGGCATGTTTGGTAGCGAGATCCCGCTGACAAAATGCCTTTAAAAAGAGGCTTAGTGATAAAGTCCTAAGCGCGGACTCCCTTATACAAGAAAGAACAACAAAAGCTCTGAATATATATATTCGTGGCCATAAATTCTATTGGAACATCACTGAGCTAAATCCCCTTATACTTCAATCACGACTCGAGTCCAATCCACATCACGCTTGCCCGGAACAACCTCCCCCATTAAGCCCCCTCACCAACCTCATCCGCAGACCTCTTGATACCATGAGAGCCTTCATTCTAAGCATGCTAGTCGTGGCCGGCGGCGGTATCTTTAAGCTGCCGGCGGCTGCTGCCGGCGTCTTCCCCGAGCCGCCAACACCGTTCCAGGTGAAATGGGAGTCCCTCGAGCTGACAGACGTGAATCGAATGGACCCGTACAACGCGACGCACCCACGGCGTCTCATGATCTCCAAGTTCTCCCCCGTCCCGCGACCTGCCTGCTTAGGGACCTGCAGGGTTCCGTACATGTCCCAGCGGGTCGCATCCGCCGAGGAAGATCTCTTGGACTTGTTCGTCGACTACATCTCGCAAGGGAAGACCAAATGGCCGAGGGGCGCCTTGGCCGAAAGCTGGATGCAGGTCTGCTGCAAGGAGGTGACGAAGGATCGTAACAACAACAGCGTGTACGACGACGACGACGGACATGGACATGGACATGTCCCTCAAAAAAAGCTCCCCACAGTTCTCTTTGGCTCGGGTTTTAATATTAGCCGACTCTTCTACTCGGGCACGGCCCAGCACCTCGCGGGCATGGGTTACGAGGTCATCACCATGGACCACCCGTACGAGTCCAACGTCGTCGAGTTCCCATCGGACGGAACCGTCATCCTCGGCGGGCGACCCGACCCGGCGAATACCTCGGCGCTCGAGTTCGCGCTCAACGTGCGCGCGGCCGACGCGCGCTTCGTTCTCGATACGCTGGGCTTTTACCCCCAAAGAAACAATACGGTGGTGCATATAGGCCACTCCTTCGGCGGGGCTGCCGCGGCGGTGGCCATGGCTGCGGACAGCAGGATCGCCGGCGGCGTCAACCTGGACGGGTCGATGTTCGGGTCTGTCCTGTCCACGGGGGTGGCTCCTCGCCCGTTTCTGCTCTTGGGATCGGAGGGCCACAACTCATCCACCCCTACAGAAACGTCGTGGCGCCAGTTCATCAACAGCACACGCCGCCGGCCACATGGAGAAAAAGCTTGGCTCAAGGAGGTGAACCTGGCCGGGTCGCTGCACTGGAGTCTTCATGACTTCTCCATCTTTGCGGATGTTACTCCTGGTCTGAGGGCCAACGAGGATCTTGTGACGTTCTTTTTTGGGAGAATTCTGGGATCGAGAGTGATGGAGATTCTGCGCGAGTATTTATCGGATTTTGTTGAGTTTGCTCTGGGCAGAAGTGGAAACGAGGGTTTGCTTGTGGGACCTAGCCAGCGGTTCCCCGAGATCAGTTTCCTATAGTACCAGTAGTCGACAGATGTTGGACGTAGTTGAGGTAGTGCGGAGGAACAGCGGACAGGAGCAATCAGAATTCGGCAGCCCCGAAACACGACACATGAGTTCCACCTTCATCTCCTGCGCTCCATCTGATATTATGCTTTCATCCAATACCGTACCTTTTATCGGAACAAATCTTCTCCCTTAACTTCCATCTTCTGAAGCCAAAAAGTTAAATGTATCTCTTGGAGGCAGTTTGTTCGCCGTGTGGCTCTGGAGCGTGTTTCGGCGCCGACTAATATCGAACAACGGGATAATAGTATAGTGGTTAGTATATCTCCTTGTGGGTGGAAATCCAACTTCGGAGACGACCCAGGTTCGATTCCTGGTTATCCCATCTTTTTGGGGGCTGTATCCACTTTTTCATCCCGTTGTAAGTGGATACCCACCTCTGGATATGAGATGGATAACCGAGGCTGTTCCCAGACGTGTTTGGCGGGATGACAACTCTTTGGCTTGTATATGTATATCTTCAGTTTGATGTTGAAGAAATTAAAATCTTGATGCAGGAATCAACTGTTTCCTCGAACCGGAGGTTTGGATTGCTAACGCCCCAAAATCTAAATATCCTGTCTATGCTAACGAAAAATGAAGTACAAGATGTATGTGATATCGAGAGCCCTTGTGCTCGCCGTGGTACCAAGTAGGAAGGGTCCCTCCTTTGTCCGTATGATGATGTCCTCCCTTTCCAAGTCCACTGGAAAATCCTCAAGCTGTTATTTCATGACACCAATCCTTCCAATACCCAAAAGATAAGCAGTTCAGCATACACGCTGGTCCCGGGCACTGATATGAATGCTGTCCAGGCTGAAATCGGACCCCTCCTCCGGGCCGGGCGCAGTCAGAAAAAGCCTCGTGCGGGCCGTGAATTCCACATTACGCTCGTTCTCGTTTTGGATTCTCTCCGTGACAGTGACCTCTTGAATCCTTCGGAAATCGACCCCCTTGTTGATGCCGTAGTCAGCGTTCGTAAAATCGAGATTTTGGGCGGCGGGCTGCCCGACATCTCCGGGGGATGCTGTGTACTCGGCGTGGAAAGTGCCCACATGGCCCTTTGACAGTTTGACGGTACCCCAGATATCGGTTAGGATGATCCCCGTGGTGCAGCCGACGGGATACTGGAACGTGACGGCGTAATCGCAGAACCGCTCGCGTGTGTCTCCGGGGTTAGAGAGCCCTATGAAGGTGTTGTAGGCGCCGAAGTCGAGGACGATGGTGTTGTTGTCGGGGTTCAGACTGGTGCCGAATTTGCCATCTGGGCAGCCGTTGCCGCCGAGGTTGCGGGCCGAGACGACTTTGACGAATGGAGTGCCGTCTTGGCGGGGTTCAGGCTGAACGATGGCTGCGGCGCAGGCCATGGCTGGGAGGGCGAGGGCGAGGAGGAATTGCATTTTGGTGATTGGGCTGGCGATGGCGGAAAACGAGAAATTGGGGACGAAAATGAAGAAAGAATGTGACTTGACAGTGTAGACTTTGTAGATGGAAGCTGGCAAAATGAGAACGTTGGAGTTGATGAGTGGAAACAATGGTAGGGCTAGTCAAGACCATTTATACACATTTCATGAAGGACGGTTTTGTTCTGACTCCATTCATACCGTGACTTGCCTACCCCGCCATACTGAGAATACCTTGGCTCCGTGAGAACTCCGTTGGCATGATGGCTCTGTCAGATCATGCTGCCTGAACCAAGTTTGCGATGCCACTATTCTGGGCCCAGAGACAGGGAGTTTGTTGGGGGAGGGGGGGGGGGGGCACAACTCATGCCGTGAGGGACTAGCTTCCTAGTCTACACCAATGCTGGCCTTGAATGTTTAAACTCGCGGCCGCTACTTGAAGTTGCGGATGGCTGGGGACCTGGGGCTCTGTAATTTGGCAGTTCCGTCCCTGCGGCCGCATGAGGCCTCTCTTGGCATTGGATATGAAGTCGTTTCACATTCCCGAGTTTAAAAATTGGGCTTTGTTGTCACTGGCACAGAACAGACGGGCCTTCGAGCCCTTCTGTATTACCCCAAAGGTGTGGTTGTAGTTATCGGCACTGGAAACCTGAGGTACTCCAAAAGCAGCTCGCGTCGGCTGAAAAGAACAAAGGGACATGTGATTGTGGTTTTATCGCACCAGTATAAGTGTGCATGCAGGCGCGGTTCCATTCTGGCGGCGTCACGGCCCGACGGGCTGGAACCAGGTAGTCTGTCTGTCGCGTTGTGGCAAGTGTAATAAAGGGAGCTGACATCGAGGCTGCGCCGTAATGGGATTTGGCGTCGATCGTCATGCGTGATAACGCTCAGCCCATCGGACATGGCGTAAGGCGCAGCGCTGCCCCAGCATTTAAGGCTGGCTACCCGTGGCGTGATTTTACCCTTAAATAATATCAGCTTGCTTAAAGGCAGCCGAAACCAGCAGAGTTTAGGAGCTAAAAACAGACTCCTTTAAGCAGCCCAAAAGTAGGGAATACCCCCTTATTAGCAGAAATCTATCCGTTTAAATCGGTCAAGGACTCCGCATCGTCTCCGTTTCAAATAAGCAACAATACATGATTCATTGGCTGCCTCTTTTTAGGAAATGAAAACATTATAATTGCTCTCTAAAAACTTGGCTGTTTGAACTTCAAAGCAGAGCCACGAATACTCCCCACAGCATGCCCCACACGACACGACAGGATCCCCGATGACAATACCAATTGCTTTCTAGCCGCTGATTATTTCACCGCTAGAGAGCACCTGGGTCCCGTCATCCAGAATCCTTTGCGGCGGCCGTTCCCAGTCCAGGACCTTGCCACCCCTAACCCGCACATCCTGCCGTCTCTCAAACCACTTGGTCGAGGTCACGTCGACCGGCTGCCCATGCGCATTCTTCAAAGACATGGTCTGCTGCGGTGGCTTGGGCCTGGAAGGCCAGTCAATGGCATTTAGAACGTTGCTTGAATGGGCAGCATGGAGGTCTCCTGCCCTTCTTCGCTCCTGCCATTCTTGCAACAGAAGCTGATATGATGCAACCGGGTGGTCTAGCCTCACCTGCGGATGCTTTACTCACTCCAGCCCAAGGTCGTTGAGATGCTGATCTTCGTGAGGCATACTTCGGACACGGTTATCTCGGGTAATGATCTCGTAGGTGGTGAATATAGCGCCCTTGACGTCGTTCCGGTGTTAGAGGCATTGCTCCTCTTCTCCGGGTGGAGGATGATTGATGCGGGCTGCAGAGTTGAAGTCGAAGATCATGATGGAGTCGGTGGACTCGTCGACCAGGGGGTTTCGTGGGGCGATGTCTTGGTGCGCGATGCCGTATCCGAGGTTCAAGTCGTCTACAACCTTGATGAGCTACTGTAGCCACTTTAATCTGAACACTCCCGACTTGTTCTCCTCTAGATTGCCGCCAGCCACGTAGTCGTTGGTAAACCCCACCACGCGACCCTCGAGCTCGTCCATGACAATCCGGTCAAGTGGGACAATATTTGGGTGACGGGGTAGATGCATACATAGGTTCATCTCCTTCCAGGACATGTATGCATACTGCCACAGGAAATAGTATTTGAAGACAACCTTCCCAAGGGTTAGCTTGATTACACTGGGACAAGATAATCCAGAAACCGGCACCTAGGTCGCACCTTTTTAGCAGATCCGCCCAGGCATGGAGGGTATGCGACGAGGTCAACATCAGGACCAAGCCTCTCGAGTTCCTCAAGTTCATCCCGCCGCACTGTCTGAATCCCTTCCGGGAGAGAAATTTCGTGAAGGAATGGATAGTGCACGCAGTAGGTCTGATCGTTCTCCGCATCGGTATACGTCGAGATGATATCGCCAACATGCGATAATGGATCCTGTAAATTTCGGGAGATAGTTGGTCGCTGTGGCGGCTGAAATGTTGAATAGCAAGATCAGATCATCGTCATCTTGCTCCCCGTCCTTCGTTACCGAAACGACGCGTCTCTGGTCCCAATCGATAACGTGCCAGGGGCTTGGCCACCCAAACGGGATGTCGCCACTCAAACAAAAATACCTGGAATCATCGTCAATCATGTTGCTGTACTCTGTGGCAATTAAGGCGTGGAGACTGAGCAGGGCTGTATGGTGAGGTGGATGACTTGGAGAGTGAAAATTGCCATGGATAAACCACCTAGTTAATGTTATATGGTGCGGAGTTGGGTCGAAGTGAGGGGTTGAGAGAAGGTCGGATTTTGAACATAAGTTCCTAGCTTGCTCGTTGGCTGGTTCAATGCTAGAGCCACGACTTCCCAGCTGCTACCACACAAACTGGCAAACATAGAGACGAGTAAATGCAATAAGAAATAAATCTCAGCTTATTTCCAGAATCTTTTCTCTATTTCTTTCCCTCTCTAGTTTCCTCATATAACCCGTCTGCAAAGCAAAGGCATTACGAAGAGGAAACGCGTCAATGAGATTGGCTCGTTTCTTGTGATTACAGTGCTGAGTATTCTAGATCAAGCTGTGCTTGCGTTGTTGTTGGGCTGCTCAATCAGGGTCAAGTCTGCCGCATGCGACTGAGGACGCGCAACTTGAAGGTTTCGATTCAAGACCTGAGGCGCGAAGAAAATTGGATCTCATGCAAATTAAATCGAAGTCCTCATTCAAGAGGAAATCTTTCATTTATTAAGACGCATAAAAAAAGAAACGATAAGATTTGGTTTTGACAAAAGTGGAACATGTGAATTGAACCCGCACCCTCTCAACACCACAATATGTCATTTCGACGCTTGGACGGGCACTCGACATCCATCACCTTAGTCCTCCAAACCTAAAAAAGTGTTGGAAGTGGCTGTAGCGTACAGATTTTATTACCCGCATCCCCGGGGGGCTTCATAGGGTACCGTACGAGGATATCCCGCCTATGGTAGGATCCTTATGGAGGTTCCATACTTCCCAGTGACTGAGATGAAGGTCGTGATCTTCAGACTTCGCGTCAACAGTATGTCTTTGCGAAATCAGTATGGGAGAGTACGGAAATGGACAGAACCCTTTTTTTCAGGGCCTGCACCAACTCCAATACACCACTCCCTCGTTTTCGATGCAATATTGAGCGAACGATTGGATATCATAAACCCTCCACCACAACACTGAACCTCGTGGCGTGCGCAGCTGTGGCACCCATCTCTGTAAAGAATTCATCCGCCCGGGCTTTTTGAACAAAGGCATCATCATTCCTAAAATAAACGGGCAATCATCTTTTGACGCCCACCCACCACCTTACAATGCCGGATAGTCTTCTTTTTATTTTTTAAAGGAGCGATCCAACACAAAAAGAAACCTCCATCTCCGCATCTCAATTTAGAAATCAAGTCCATAGCTTTCTGATGGGACTCTCTCTACAAAGCTCATTCTTTCA